ATATCTCAAAAATAATGTTTCATATTTATTTAATAAATATTTTACTCTAAGAATATTTAATTTGCATGCAACTTAATAAGAAAAAGTTAAAAAAAAATTAAATGTTTTTTTCAGATCATAGCAATGAAAAATGAAAATCACTAATAATAATTTGAAATATGTTTTATTTTTATTTTAGTTAAGTTTCAAAATAAAGTGTCATCCACATCACCTTATTAAAACCACATAAGGAAAAAAAAGCCAAAAGAAAGTTACCCATTGTTATTATGGGTAGATTTTTTAAAGTACGATGTCTTAATAAAAAATAATTTGAAAGTACATTGCTATAATAAAGAAAACAAAAGTAGAATACTATAATAATAATAAATTTTATGAAAGTAAGTTGTTATTTCATGTATTTAGCCCTAATTTATATAATTAATAATCAAATTAAAATCTTATTAACTAACATATTTTTTTTTAAAGATTAAATAACATATTATTATTAGTATTTTATTTTACTTGTATTATATAATATTAGACTTGAGTAATTTTAATATATATTTTTGATTATTTTATATTTTTCAACAAACTTATGAACTAGTTTGTAACAAATATGATTAGTTGATCAACTAATTTTATCTAACATAGCCTAATTTATGCTGTTGCAATTGCTACTTATTTTGAGTAGTTTACAACCTATAGTTTATAGGATGACCGTCGTTGCTACACATAGCGATGACTTTTGGACTTTTTGCGACGGATTTTTTTTTTAATCACTAGCTCTCTTTTCTTGTTGTATATTGATGATATTTAATATTATTTATATTACTTATTGTGACATTCCCTTTGGAGTTCATCACTTAAAACATAACATGATGAGTTAAAATTTTATAGTGGAAACCTTAGACCATTTGTAACCCAACTATTAAAAAAATACAAACAAAACAAGTCTATTGAACCTTAAAAAGTTCAACTCATATCACACACTAAAAACACTACATTTTTAACAACAAATAACATATTTAATTATTATTATTATTCTATCTATACTATCTTATAAACCAAGTTTGAGAAAAGTTGTAAGTGTTAAAGTCTTAAAGACCACCTTCGTAGCATAAAGTACAATCTATTAAAGCTAAAAGTCTTAAAAGACAACATTTTAAAACATAATATATTGTTGATTAAAACATGCAATTTCAAAATCTCTTAATAACAAGTTATGTTGATCCCCCCTCTCTCTCTCTTTCAGTGATTTAATGATGATCCTTTTTATCTGGGTTTGGTGCACTTTTCCTTTGTTTAAGTTCAAGTTGCAGGGGTGTTGATGGGTTTGAATGGAGAAGGGAAGTTGGTTTTTGAGATTGGTAAGAAAAGGTAAAACATGTTTTCCTTTTCCAAACAACAACAAAGGAAATATATGCAATATAATATAAACCATTGTAATGAACGTATTTATTTTCATTCCCATTGAAAATCTCTCTGTGATCAAGTAATAAGTAATCTAAACAATTAAGAACAACAATTAAGCTCAAATCGTATGTATTAAGTGTTTCTCTCTCTAAAACAAGTTTCTTTCTCTAGAAACTCTCTACAAATATGAACGTGAAAATCTAAAAAATGAGCTCTATCTTTTCTACTACAAGCATTATAAAGTATTTATATGAATTGACTAATTCAAAGTCAAACTACAATTGCAAACATTTACTTTACATAACATGTTGACTATTTTGACTTTGACTTTGAAGCTTTGACCTCTTCATTCTTTACTCTCGTCTTCATACTTGGTGATATGGGATACAACATATTTTGGGCCTAACACCCACTTTCATTCCTTAGGTTGAACCAAACACCCCCTAAACCTAGTAAAAGTCGCAATCACTACATATGTTTCCCCCCTAAAATCGTCTTATGGGTTCAAAGAAGCCACATTCCTGCTTATGTTCACAAACACTCATTACTGAAGGGGTCGTGGGAACTTAGGTCATCATAGTCGTAAGTATGGTTTGCCAACAAAGGAGCTCATGGTGGTGGAGGAGTTTAGGGAGGGGTGGAGATTGATGGGATGCTGGGGAAGAGTTGTCTGAAGATCGAAAAGAGAAAAGCCATGAAGTTTTCCCTTGAAGGAGAAATGGGGACTCTAGGAAAGGGGCACGAGAGCTTGACGAGAAAGACGTGGTGTGGGATCTCAGATATGTGCATCTATACATATAAAATGCCCGTCACTTAATGGGGTTTTTAACGGCTCTTAGAGGAGGATCAAACACATATACTTTTGCAAATCATGATAGTCATTTTGTATTTTCGAAACTACAGGTACAAAAAGTGTTATATCCGATAAACCACATAGACCAACTTTGTATTTTTTTTGTAGTTTTGTATTTTTGAAGGACCAAATTTGCAAAGTCACCATTATGTAGAGACTATTTTCGTAAATGAATCCATACTCAACGAACGAACAAGTTCACCACTCTCTACGCCTCTAAATAAACAGCTCGGAGGGTGGGTTGGCTAGGGTTCTTCGATCGTGTATCAATCTTTGTAGCTTTATGCAGTGCTGATTTTGAGGCCTTCAAATTGCGACAAAGCTATCTTGCAATGGCGTTCGAGAGTAAAAAACTCATAAACAACCCTAATGGTAACTAAAATATCTCTTATCCTGTCAATTTTATTTTGACTTTTGCTTCATTACAGCAATTGCTTATTTGGTTCTGATTTTTTTCCTTTCTTGAACTTCAATTCTATTGAATTACTTGTAGTACTAGTTTGATCACCTTTATGTTGATTCTTGAATAGGAATTTAATTTGTTCTTCTATATTTAGGCCTCTTTCTTCGTATTTGTGTTGTGTTGAGTTCTGGTAAGCAGATTGATATTTTCATCTGCCAAAATTTAGTATAAGGTGTATTTTTTTAATTTCTACTACCAAAAACGATCATCAACCAAGGAGAAACAAGTGATGTCTATTATCAACATATCCTGCTGGTAACCGGTTTACTGTTCGGCATAGTCTGATCAGTGATCATGTTGGTTTGCTTATGTAGTACTCCCTCTTTCTGAAATAATGCAATGTTGGACATACAATATGGCATCTTTGACCATTATTTGAATATGTAGAATACCACTAATAATGACAAAAAAATATGGATCTAGTTGGCCAAAAGCGTTGGTATTAATCATTGCAATGGTTACTAAGGGTAAAGAAGCAATCTCACATAGAAACCTTGCCAAAACAGGAGAGATCCTGCTTATTTTGGGACATTTCTCAAAGGAATTATTGTATATGTTTGCCAAAAAGTAAAGATTCTGTTCGTTTCTGGATATCCCATAAAGGAAACTGTGGTATTTAGTTTTAGAGGAAGGGAGTACTATAAATGTATAGCATACACATCTACAATGTGCGTGTGTTTATGTATGTTTTGCTTATTTTTAATCACCGTATCAGCCCGTTAATGATATGGAATCAATAAAATGTTCAAGGAGAAGCATGAGAGGAGCTTGTAGAATCAAGTATGATGGAACAAAATCTTGCAAAATGAAAAGCTTCAGAAGTCAATGATGAGTGAAATGGCAACATGAAAATGCTGAATTACTGTTGATTTAGTGAATTGCAGTTGGTTGCTATTAACCTGAAACAATTAACTGTCATGCTTGGTGATTGGAACCAATTTTAGAGCTTGCCAACTTTAGTATTGGTTTAGGCACTCACTCTACTACCTTAAATGACATCAGAGCTTGTGGATCATCACATCTAAAGGTAGCAATTCATGTTACTTTCTATGATTGAGGTGATGAAACTCAATTTAAGAGAATCTCCAACAAGCAAGCTGAATAACGTACCATTGGCTTATAACCTTTCACGCTTAGTGGATTCTTGTATTCCCATTTACTTGTTTTGTAAAATGTAACATTGAGATATCTCGAGGCTAAAACATATCTATTTGTTAGGATCAATTTCGCATGCAATGCAAATAGGTCAAAATGATGTTATCGTGTTTGAAAGAAGTGTGCTAGTGGTTATTTATAGTGGATTTGTCAGCAAAAGAGAAAGGTCTCTTAATGCCATCATTGTTGGCAGCTACCATATTCCTAGAGGCACATTAGTATCAAGGCTTATAAAGCTATACAGGAGTGAGTGTATGAGCTTTGTAGTTTGCAGACTAGCGTTCACTAAAATTTGGATGGTCTCTTTGTTGGTGATAGCTCGTCTTTTGGTAAGGGATTCTATAAAACATGTGATTGAATATGAATATTCCTCCCTAGTATCCTTCTAGCTGTTATTTATTCTTGGCTGCTCCATGATTGGATAACAAAAATTCATTTCTTAATAGCTTTCTTGAGGAGGTTGTTGGAATTTGGGTCACGCTCGAATCTGGATCCACCCATCCACCTATAGGGAGTGCCCAGCCCAATTATATTGGGCAAGGGCAATTAACCGCTAGGGTAATTATTTGTTTATATGGTTTAACCATTGTTTTAAAAAATGGCAGAGGCGTGTGCCTCAAGGCGTGCCTCATGTTGAGGTGGCCCAAAACCGTCTATGAGGCGTCGCCTTTTACTCTGTTGATGATACGTACGCCTTACAAGTGTGGGGCAGTGAAGAATTTGTGAGGCGGTGAAACTATGAAGAGGCGTTAGACTTTTAATTTAAGAGTTTAGTGGATTAGACATTTAGTGGGTTAGAGCCTTAGTGGGCTAGTCTTAGTAGATTAGAGTTTTAGTGGGTTAGACTTTTAGTTGGTTATTGATACCTCTATTATCTGCTAGTGGACGTGTTTTATATATTATATTTAAATAAATGACCAAAAAACAACCCTAACATTATATTTTTATAACAAAGAAAAATGGCAGCTCTCTTTTTCAAACCCTGTAACTTTTCCTTGTAGAACCTCATGACTTCTCCTCTTCTCTTTACCCTGCTGCATTGGAGACTTGTAGCAACTGTGAGTATGGGGCCGTTTACTAAACACTTATCCAGGTAGGTGTTTACCAATAATGCTTACCCTACATATTGAGCATGGCAAGGACCGAGAATCTTACTGGGTAAGAGGCATAAGAATAATCGAGAATCTTACCCGGTAAGTGAGGAAGAAGACTCTTACCTGATAAGCGCTTACCGGGCAATAGATGCTTACCAAAAATTCATTTTTATGGTTGCTTATGTTACCAGATAAGGTAGATAAGGTCGGTGACACTTGCTGGTAAGTGCTTACTCGGTTAGCATTTGGTAAACGACCCCTATATCCTATGCTGTTATATCGGTCAGAATACAAAATATCGGTCAGGACCGATATTCGATATAACGGTTATATCGGTGATATATCGGTCCAAAATAGCGGTTAACATAATATTTCTTAGAATTGTATATATAATATGCATTAATTAGAGTTTAAAAATATAGTTTTAAAAAATTAAAACATCACATCATCTAAAGTGTTCAAAAACGAGCTAATTGCAAGCAATAGGTTCGGCATTCGAGAAAAGAAGCCAAACCGTGACTCCATGAGAAGTCTGAAGTTGTGAGAAGTCTGAAGTCGTGATTCGTGAAGTGAATTAGGTGTCTGTGAAGTGTGAAGTCGTAACTCGTAAAGATGAAAAGAAAGGAAGAAGACCGTTAGAARGCAGACTATTAATTTCAGACCTAATAATATACGTTACCAAGCCCAAAAAACTAAGCCCATGAAATAACAAAATCCCAAATAATTGAACCCTAACAAATCGATATATCGGTCCGATATATACATCAAAATATCGCTAAATATCGGGAAAAATCGGAAAATATCGCCGATAATATCGGGGACGATATTTTGACAGATATTTATGCAGCGATATTTTGCCTAGGTCCGATATCCGATATATCGACGATATATCGCGATATTAATAGCATAGCCTATATCTATATTTTGTATTTGTATATATGCTATGTACAAGTGTTTATATATATAGATATATATTGTTTTTTGGGGCTTATGGTGCCAAAAGAGAAAACGTCTCGAGGCTCGTTTCCGTTTATTAAAACCTTGAGTTTAACCATCATATGGTGGTTAACTTTCCATTCATATTTAAGAAGTGATAGAGGAAAATATATTTGGAAGAAAAACATAATTATCAATAAATATACGAGCATTATGGTTTGGGCTTAGGCCATGAATATTGTGCATTTTCTATTTGTGAATTTGTATCAACTATTGGTGGTACTTGCATAATTTGATCATATAATTCGAAAAACCAAAGCACAAGTCCAAGGCAATAAAATATGAAAATCAAAATTTTTCATATTTCTAATATTAAACGAAAGAGAGCAAAAGGAGGAATCCGCCCGAGGAGTGGCTCGCGTTTGATTAGCTAGTTGGTGAGGTAATAGCTTATCAAGGCGATGATCAGTAGCTGGTCCGAGAGGATGATCAGCCACACTGGGACTGAGACACGGCCCAGACTCCTACGGGAGGCAGTAGTGGGGAATTTTCCACAATGTGCGAAAGCCTGACGGAGCAATGCCACGTGGAGGTAGAAGGCCCACGGGTCGTGAACTTCTTTTCCCGGAGAAAAAGCAATGACGGTATCTGGGGAATAAGCATCAGCTAACTCTGTGCTAGCAGTCGTAGTAATACAGAGGATGCAAACGTTATCCAGAATGATTGGATGTAAAGCGTCTGTAGGTGGGTTTTTAAGTCCGTCGTCAAATCCCAGGGCTCAACTCTGGACAGGCGGTGGAAACTACCAAGCTGGAGTACGTTTAAATTATCACAAAGCCAAGTTATTAACTTTAATAAGTTAAGCTCTATTCTTCAATATAATCGACCGTCTTTTTTTCTTAAGACTGAAATAAAGGATTTTTTTGGAAGACAAGGAATATTTCATTCCGAATTAAAACATAAGAAACTTCCAAATTATGGAATGAATCCATGGAAAAACYGGTTAAGAGGTGATTATCAATAAGATTTATCTCAGATTACATGGTCTAGATTAGTCCCACAAAAATGGAGAAATGGAATCAATCAATCCCATACGTCTCAAAATAAAGATTTAAACAAATGGTATTCCTTTGAAAAAGACCAATTAGTTGATTACAAAAAAAAAATTCGAAAATATATTTATTACCAAATAAAGAGGAGAATTTTCAAAAAAACTATAGATATGATATTTTATGATATAAATATATTCACTCTGAAACTAAGAAGAACAATTATGCTTCCATTCGATTAAGCTTCCTTACTATTAATCTGGAAAGTCTTCTCAAATACAAGAAAATGGTTCAGTTCCAAAGCTAAAGATCGTAGTTCTCGAACGAGCAACCDAAAAGATTCTGGAGCATCCTCAGGAGTCGGTATTGTTTCTCCAAAGATTATACTACCAAGTACTTCATGGCGAGCTCTAATATGACCAGATTTATAAGTAAACATCTCTTGTAAAATATAAGCAGCGCCAAACCCCTCTAAASCCCAAACCTCCATTTCTCCTACCCGTTGTCCCCCTTGCTTGGCCCTTCCTTTAAAGGGTGGTTGTGTAAAACGTGAATAACGCCTGTTGGAACGCCCATGGATTTTATCATCAACTTGATGAATTAATTTCAAGATATAAGGCTTTCCTATTATATTATATTATATTATATTATATTATAACAGGTTGTTCAAAAGGATCCCCCGTTCTTCCATCAAATATTATGCTTTTCCCTGGATACTCGGGTTTAAATACCCATTCTCTGCTTTCGTGCTATCATTTCAAGAATTGAAGTAAGCTTTATAATTTTGCATTACAAGAGCCAAATGGTCATTTTTGTTGGTTGTGATTACAAACTTTGTTTTTACACATGAACTTGGTTCTTAATATTTTAAATTGACTTTTTGTGTAAGACTACAACCTTTTTGGGGTAGCCACATGAGGCTGATATGGTATGCTTTGACGTAACAAGTGCTCAACCAAATATGTTTTCACGTAAGCTTACTTGTCCTTAACAGAAACACTTTTGGAATGACTTTATATCATGAAAGGGTATGTGTGGGGAACAATTTCATGTAAGAGTATGCGAATCAAGTGCGTAACCTTATGTACCTTAAACAAAAACGTATTTGTTTTTTTATTCTTTTTTGTGTTCTTCCAGCATGCCAAATAAACTTGTGTAGACAGGGCTGATTTTAACATACACAATTCAAGTGCATTGTCTATGTACCTTAAACAGAAAGAAATTTTGTTTCTCTCTGATCTTTCTACGTACTCTTATGTATGTTAAAACGTTGTTTTTTGCTCATATTTTCATGATAATCATTGGTTGCAACGAGAGTCATACATTTTACTTAGATGATGATTGCGAACATGGTGCACTTTCGACTCTAACTTTGATGCATACATTTGTTGAATGCCGATAACCATGATGCAAATTTCACTATTTTTGCTGGACATTTAATTTTCTATGTGCAATTCACACATAACTTTGTAATAGTTTTCATCATGCTGTTAGTTTTCAAAAGTACTATTGCAAAGCTCAACAAGGTTAGAAGCTTACGGTGACAGCTACAAGATTTGGAGCATGAAACTGCAATATGTGCTTGAAGAGTTAGAGGTTCTTGATCTGATACTATCTTGGACGAGCTGGAGCCAGGGTATTCAACTCAACATAAAACGGACCAGGAAGCATATGATGCGTAGAAAAAAGAATTCCATTGCTCGAAGTACGTGGCAGAGCAACATAGATGAAAATATATGTTAGTCCAAAAAGTATGACATTGAAGTAAGTAGGTAGGCACTACCAAACTCTGTTGAGAAAGCATATGAGTTAAAAAGATGCATGCCATACTTTAGCTAATGAACAAGTCCATGCGGTCCTTCACCCTTGCCACCAACATAGGAGCATACACTTGACTCGCAATGAGAAGTTTCGTACATTGTAGGATGCGATGCACCATTTGGAGCTATAGGAAGAATGCCTTAAGTTGACCGAGTCCAGCACCAAGGTCTATATGACCTGTTTATTTTTCATTAAGTAAATGAAAGCATCCATATGATCACAGGGCAAGGAGCATGGTGAGTCCAGAACATGGTCTAAGCCTAAGCAACATGAGAAGAAGAAGAGACATAGGAAGTTCAAGGTAGCAAGTGTGAATTGCTTTAATTACAATGATCGTGGCCATTTGCTTGTGATTGTACTGAGCCATAAAGGACGTTTGAATATGCTTATGCTGGTGAACTTTGTGTTTCTTGCTCATGATTAACTGAATTTCGTCCTATGTGGATTGTAGACTCGAGGGGTATAGACCACATACTGAAGGATTGTGAAGCCTATATGGATTGGTAGCCCACCATAGGTGCTCTCTATATATAAAGCTTTTCCCTTAGTTGTAAAAATTGATTCAAACACCAAAACGTTACAGTGACAAAGTAAAAACCAAATTGATCCGTGATTTTTGATCCACCAACTTCAAAAAATTCTGTAATCTCCACCTCTACAAAAACTGCATCAGAATTTATCCACCATTTTAGTTGCATATGTTATATTACAATCTATATATGTGGTATTTTGAATGGATTGTTTATTATAGAATGATTTGAAATCTCTGCATGTTATGAGTGGTGGTCCTGAAAATCTATTTAATCTAGTTTTGTTTAAGTTTCCTTGATTCGCCTGCATCTCAGTTTTGTTCCTGTCTTCTCTTTGGATTCTAGGGTTGATAATTTGTTATACTTGTTGCAGATGTGGTGACTGAGTTCATTGAAGGACTTGTAGAAACTTATCCTGGGTTGCAGTATTTGGATGGGTTTCCAGAGGTGTGAATTGTATTTGCTAATACGACATTCAAATTGGCTCTAAATGCAACCATCTTCTGAATTCTTCTATTTCTGATTGTCCTTTAAATGAATACAGGTAAAGGTTGTTTTGCGTGCTGATGTTGTGGGTCCAAAGTATGACAAAGTTGCAGTTATATCAGGTGCCCAACGTTTTAGTGCAAGATGCTTTTACTTTCTGTTGCACCATTTTCACATTGTGTAAACTCGATGAGTTGCAGGTTAGATAGTTATTTTATATATTTTGATTTCTTATGTTATTTGTATGTCATCCTTGTCATGCATTTCCTGTTTGAATTTTAAACTAGAAGGGGATAAAACTTTAGTGATTTTGACATAAAGTGTGAGTCAGGTTGACTGCAAATGTACTTTATCTCGCATCATAGCTTGCACCGTACAAGATGGTTTGTTACTTGATACTTTGGACAAGGAGAAACACGATTTCTATGTGAAATATAATTATTATACAGCATAATCTGAAAGAAAAGAGGTCAAAATTGCAAGTCTAAGCTTGAATACAAATTTAGATAAGAGATCTAAATTTATAATGTGATGCAACAACGATGATAATTTTACCGTCTTTATGTAATGTTATCATGTGCGAAAAGGAAGCAAAATGGATGCTACATTTGGATCTATGAATTGTCATCATAAACATCAACAATTTGACAAATTTATTCATGTTTGTAGTCTGTCCTCTGTTCTTGTGCTTCCAGTTGAGATAAAGACAAGTTCTCTTCACTAGTTTATTCATAAAAAATCCTTTTGGCCCTTGATCACGTCACGTTTGACCTCTATTCCTCATCTCCTTGCATCAAACATTTCCTCTTAACTCCTTCAGAGCTGACGATCATGGTTTAGAAAAAATGCTCAAAAGCTGGTCCTGTAAGATATTGCACACTCAATCCTGACCAGAAACGTACAATTTGAAATAAACAACGGCACTCAACAATGCCCTTGCTTAACTGATGCCTCCAAACTTGTAACTTCTATTTACAAAGATCCTTGTAAACTCTACAAGCCTCTCTCACCTGTTCCATGAGCCGTGGAATGCAGAACATTCAGAAACAAAAACCATATACTTTGAATATGTATAACAAAATACATAAACTAATGTAATCTAGATAAAATGTTTCTATTTTAGAGCCACAAAGTGGAAATAGTGAGCGTTAGCTACCACTTTAGTGCTGAAACAATGAATTTTAGTAATTTTGCTAAAACATGTCTTGCATGATGATCACTGTCAGTTTACCCATTTAATCAGTAAAACTCATGTTTTGTTATTTGTAAGAGAAAAGAAACAGACAAGAAGACTTTGCAATAATGCAATTAAAAAAAATGCTAACATGTGAAAACAAACACAAAAGCGAATGCATCTTGCTACTTGAAGGCTTATTATCAATAAATGGGCAGCAGAGGGAGAAAGAAAGATAAATTGAATTCAGGGAAAATAATCAAAAAATGTATATGCAAGGAGAGACGTTGATTTAACTAAGAAAGAAGAGGCACAAAATCATTGTTGTACAAGTTTGTAGCTAGTTACCGATGTATTCATTTTAAAGGCTAAAATTTTGGTCATTTTTTCGTAGTTATATCAAGCCCAAATTTGTTTATGAAAAAATAAAAATTCAAAGGTGATGAATGCCACTTATTTTCATGTGAGCAAACCTTTTCTGCACAGATGTTATGCTCATTAAGTGAACCCCTCTGCAGGAGGATGTGCGGTGTAAGTTTCTATTCCCACCCAAAATAAATTCAATCTTCGACCAGGCACATAGCTCAATGACAGCTTTTGGCCACTGATCAAGTATGTAAATATCCCTTAATAATGACAAAATAGAGGGAGTTTGTGGACAAAAATCAATGCCATAAGTTTCATAAGGATTGCTAATGCGTAAAGAGCTGATTTTGGTTTGAGATGTTGCCAGAAGGGACGAATTTGAAATTGATTTGAGACATCTCAAAGTCTATAAGGTAGATATTAGTAATAGAAAACAAGCCAAAAGAGCTGAGTAGGAAGGTACAAGGCTCCTTATCCAAAAGAAAGAAGGTCACAAGGCTCTATGAAGCCTTTTCTTACTCTAGGGCATTCCTTGTTTTGTTCACTAGGTAGATCAAGCACATAATCTCTACTTTGTCAAGGTTTATCATTATGATCTATTTTCGTGATACTGATGTGCACAGTAATTTTACTTAGTTTTAACTGTTAGTGTTGGAATCTTCATTATCATCTAATATGTGCCAACTGTCCTTTGCATGAACAGGAGGTGGGAGTGGGCATGAGCCTGCTCATGCTGGATTTGTGGGGGATGGGATGCTGACAGCCGCAATCTGTGGCGATATTTTTGCCTCGCCACCTGTTGCTTCAATTCTTGCTGTATTGCCTGCCACTAAATCAGATGAACTAGAATTCTATTCAAGTGGTTCTCTTTCCATTCTTGCTCTTAATACTGCAACTAATATTATCCAACTTTAGGGCATACGAGCTGTGACTGGGCCAATGGGATGCCTCCTAATTGTCAAGGTATTGTAACTTTCAGATGCCCAACTAATGCCTTCACCCAAATGCTTCAGCTCATGCTTTCTAGTAGTTTTACTATGTTCACGAGTGATATTAAAGATGAATTTGTAGTTTTTTTCTTTTACTTTTTGAGTTTTTCTAAAACAAGAAGATAGCCTTTTTTTGTGAGTTCTTAATTTCAATGTTGTACTTAACTGCAACTGTTGATTACAATGGAAATTAAAATCGACAAGCATTGAGAGACATTTGTATTTTAATAAGGATGCACGTCTGGTTTCATGACACATTGATTTCTAATATACAGAACTACACCGGCGACCGATTAAATTTTGGATTGGCAGCTGAGGAAGCAAAATCAGAAGGTTACAAAGTAGAGGTCAGCACATAATGTTGACATGTAATTCTAAATTGTGTTCTCACCCTTATTAAGGATAAATTAACATTCAAACATATTGTATTGATACCTTCCAAGTTCCAATATATGTGTTGTAGATGGTAATTGTTGGAGACGATTGCGCTTTGCCACCCCCACGAGGCATAGCTGGGCGCAGAGGTTTGGCTGGAACCATTCTCGTTCATAAGGTTTATCCTCATTCATGCTATGATCTAATTACAAGCACATGATAGAAAAAAAGCCTTTTTTATGAACTAGATAAATGAAGCCAGAAGATACGTGCAAAGTTTGCAAATTTGAGCACAATGTTCAAAATTTGTTTTTTTTCCCTCTATGGATTTTGGATGCTAACTGCATATTAGTTTATATGTATATAGATATATTTTCTTTTGCTAGTTTTTTCTACGCGTAAAGCCTAATATGTTTTCAGCTTTACCCTAGGTAGTCATTTCTATGGGGAAACTTCTTGTTGTTGGTCATCTAGGCAATTATGATATTAAGCTTTGAGAAAAATATGAATCTCCCATTCTCCCTTGAGAGTAATTGGTAGAGTACAATAACCTAAAGATCAATTGTTGACAACTTTTTACACCTAATAATAATAAACAGATAATCTTTAGACTACGGAAACTTTCTTAGAGATATTCTAGGAAAATCTCCTATCGAATAGGAAAATCTGAACTAGGAAGGATTCTCATAATTTTTCATAACTCAAGACTCTCCAGTTGGATTGGAAATATCTTTCAAGCCCAACTTGTTGATACAAGAATCAAAACCTAGTTGGAATAGGACCTTTGTAAAGATGTTGGCTGTTTCTTGAAAAGTTGGCACAATGGGTAAAGAAACTAGACTGGATTCAATCTTTTCCTTGAAGCATTGGTTGATTTCCACATGCTTGCTTTGTATCACAATAGAGTTTCATTGAAGCTTCTATCTTCAACTGCAAATCTCTTGGAACTTGCTCTAGCAACTAGCAAGATCAACTCACGTAATCCATTGGCTGTAACTCTTAAGTTCAACCTCTTCACTGCTACGAGCAACAACAGTTAGTTGCCAAGTAACTAAGTTCCCCAAGATTTTACAACAATAGCAAGTTGTAGACCTCAGTGACTAATCTTGCCTAATCAACATATGTATTTGCTTCAATACTCCGCCTTTCTTGTTTTTCTGAACATTAGACCTTTCCCGGGGGAACCTTTTAGATATTGAAGTATTTTAAAGGCTGCTTTCATGCATATCATCCGAGGAGGGTGCAGACTTATCAAGCCTACAACAAAGCTAATTTTTGGGAGGTGTGTAAGATAGATAGAAAAGTCTACCAACAAGTCTTTGCCATTAAGAAGCATCAACACCTTTTGTTTACTATCTTCTAACTTTACATTTGGATTAATCAGAGTATCAACTGGTTAGTACCCACTCGTACCAGTGTTTTTAAGAAGGTCTAGTACGTGTTTGCTTTGAATAACAACTATTCTTTCTTTAGACCTAGCTATCTCATCAAAGTACTTGAAACTTCCAAAGTCCTTGATTTTAAAGTCAGCTGCTTAAACTTTTCTTTAATCAAGTCATCACTGAATCATCACCATTCATAATAATGTCGTCTACATAGAGAATAAGAACACATTGACAATAAGAACTAATATTCTTCCCTCGCTTGATTTTCTAAAGAACAATGTGTCGCCTAGCTTATGTATAGCATTGTTCTTTTACTAGGCTAGTGAGTTTCTCAAACCATGCCTCGTGGGAATTGGGAATTGATTCAACCCCGAAAGTCGCACTTAACTTGCACACCTTAGAGCCAAAATTGTCCTCGAAACTTGGGGGGGGGGGTCTATAAACACCTCTTCATCCAAATCACCGTTTAGAAAGCTGTTTTTGACATCTAATTAGTGCAATTCCAATCTAAATTTACAACAATGGAGAGGATACGAACTATGTTGAGCTTAGCACTGATTCAAAACTCTTGGAATAATCGATACCACAAGTGTGAGTGAAACCTTTGGAGACCAAACATGCCTTATATCTTTCCAAGGATCCATCAAACTTGAATTTTACAGTAAACACCCACTTGCACCTTACACTTCCTCTTCATAGCCTTCAACTCTTCTAGAACAACCTCTTCCCATTTTGGAACTTGCATTGGATCTGTAATACTCTTTGGAGTTTCCACACGTGTGAGTTGAGTAGCAAAGGCATGGAAACAATCATACACATTTTAGTAGGATATAGAATTAGATAATGGATATAGAGGATGCCTAGTGCATTCCTGGGTTCCTTTTCTTAGTGCAATAGGTATATCAAGCTCTTCATTTTTAGGAAGTGAATTCAAACATGGAATTGCAGAATTTGGCAACAGGGCTCGTTCTTGACTATGCTGCAAGTCCTTAGACGACCCTCCCAACTTTGGTTTCTATTCTTGCATAAACTATCCCAAAACCTGTTCTTAGTATTGCATGCGGTGCTACTTGGAGTGATGTTAGGAAAGTCCATATTTTTATTATTTAAAAGATATAAAGAATCATTTTTAAACACATTAGGAGGTTTTTTTTTTTGTAAATCAACACCATTCATTGGAGAATTATAAGTCCTGTTTAAAAGAGGTAAAAAAGATCCAAAGTATTCAAGGTAGTTTCGGGAGAGAATTGTTTGTATATCATCTTGATTTTTTCTCTTCAGATTCTCGTCTCCCCCTAAAGCCGAATCTATTTCTTCTTTCTCCCTTTGAAGATGAGGTTGAAATATGAATGATTATCCAATAACTGGTCATCAGAGTTAACAAAATATTTTTCTGTTCAGGCTCATAACACTTGTATCTCTTGTGAGGATCTCATTTACCTTGGTTTAATTCCCTATCGTGGATGAAAATTGTGTAGCCAAAGGTTTTAATTGGCTAGGCGGATTCAAAGCTAGTGTGGGAACATTTCAGAATTTTTAACGGGGTTGCTTAAAAACTTACGAGGATATCGTTATAAAAAATGTTGCTATTATAAAACTGTATCCCCCATAAAATTTTCAGGACCCTACAAATAAAGGGCAATGCTCAAGCAACTTCCAAAAGATGTCTATTTTTTCCTTTAGCAGTACCGTTTTGTTGTGGTGTTCCAACACTAAACTTTCTTAAAAAAATCCATTTTGTGTGGAAAAAATTGCTCAAGTGCTTTGTGAAATAGTCACGACCATTATCACTTCTCAAGACTTTAATTCTAGTCTCAAATTGACTATAGACTATGTTGTAGAAGGTTTCAAAAATATTTTCCACTTCAGATTTATGTTCCATTAAATAAACCCAACTTATTCGTGTGTGATCAATGATCATCTTTAAATGTGACAAACCATCGTTTTCTAAAAAGTGTTGGAATTCTAGAAGGCCCCTAAATATCACCATGCGCAAGAGGATATGGTTTTGAGGTAACATACCAAACCAAACAGAAGTACAAAACCAGTATGTCTAGCACGGAGGTGGGGTCCTGGGGGGATGTATATACTCCTGGACTCTACCCCGAAGAGCAGGGCTGCTGTTTCCGTGAACACCCCTCGCTTGTGCAAAACAAAGAAGGATAGCTATGCATTTTTGCCCCTGACTGTTTCAAAGGAACATATGGCTAAGAATTGCAAGGATATCTATGTGTTTTGCCTAGGCACAAATTTCATATTGGAAGGAAGATGAATCTTTATTAGAAAATAAACTTGGAAAATATCCGTTTTAAATAATGAAAACTTGGGGTCCAAGCCTAAAATGGCATGACATAGTATCATTGTTACTAGAACCGAAAATAATACCTAAGCAGGAGGTTGAAATTGAATCTTTCTGGAGATATCAATCATCAAAGTAGTAAAGTCTTCCACTTAATTTAGCATTGCCGGTCGTCTTCCCTCATCTTCCCTGATGCTAGGTCCTGGAACTCACAGTGATACTGGAAACGTTAGCACAACAACATTGATTAAGAGTTGATTTCTAGACTCATAACAAACTACATAACTATTAGGAACATGTAACACAACTTTCGATGTTAGATGTGAAGAAATTCTGATGGAACCGGTGCCTGCAATGGTCAACTATGAGTCATCAGCCACCTTAATTTTTTTGATTTCCTGAGCAGGTACTATATGATGAAAATAGATTTGAACAGCCAGTTTATGATTGTTGGCGCTTGGCTTTATTATCCAAAGAACAGAGTTATTGGAGGACAGAAGGACAGAAGGACAGAAGGAGCTTGATTACCTTCCTGAGCATAAGACGCAGAAGGAATGGCCAAAGAATTAGAAAACTGTGGAGATTTAAGAGTTGTATATAGGTGCTTTATTTTTTCGGTATGATTGGACATTGAAGTTTCCCTGAGGTAGAGTTACGCTCCGTAATGGTTTTGGACATACTGTTTAAAGCCTTGCCCACCTCTTGACGACTATATAAAACTAATAATGGTAGAAGAGGTAATCCTTTGGCTAAGGAAACTTTCCTTAGAGATATTCTAGGAAAATCTCCTATAGATAGGAAAATCTAAACTAGGAGGGTTTCTCGTAATCTTTTCATAACCCAAGAAATCATATTGTCCTTTTCTTATATGTTTTTTGAGGACTTCCTTTAATGCATTTGGATGCAAAATGATTAATGTGAGCCACTGAAGTTGCTTTATTCATGGTTTTTTGAACAACTGTTATTTAGTTTCTTAGAATCATCTCCAAGCCTCTTGTTATGATGTGGCAACAGCTATTCAATTAGTTTCTTTGTGTAGCTGCTCAAATTAGGGAATATGTACTATTTATGTATACTTTTATTTATATTCCTTGAGACATTCAGATTGCAGGAGCAGCAGCTGCTTCCGGTCTTTCTCTTTCTGATGTTGCTGCTGAAGCAAGACATGCATGTGGAATTGTGGGAACAATGGGTGTTGCGCTGTCAGTTTGCACGCTTCCTGGTCAGCCAAAATCAGACCGTTTAGGTCCAGGAAAAATGGAGCTTGGTCTTGGAATTGTAAGTAGGGTGTTATTATCTACTTTGCCAGTTGTGCTAATACCAAGGTTTTAAATGACGTTATGCATGGCGTGGGGAGTCATTCTAAAATTGGCTTTTGTTTCTTTCCTAACTAATTTGCATTTGCATCAGCATGGAGAACCTGGTGCTATCGTAGCGGACATCCAACCCGTGGATTTGGTGGTATCTCATGTGCTGAATCGTATACTCTCACCCGTATGTCACTTCAAAGCAAAGACTGATCCATGGTTTTATCTGAGTAGACTGTCTTGCTTGATATGCTTTGTTCTCCATCTGTTCCTCAAAGGGCTCTGTTAATTGCCATCTTCTGGTCAAATGAATGATTCAAAAGTATTCCTTGTGTTCATGGGATTTGTCAGCACTAAATGTGACTTACCAACATTTGCATATATAATCAAGAATCATCTCGAAAAAAATCGGAATACCACCAGACCCACCTTAAATATTCAACAAGTTAGTTAATTTGAATATGTTCATCTTAGTTTATTGAACATTTATTTATTCAGTTTATTAATCTCACTTATTTATTTTTTAAATTATGAGATTGAACTTGATGGTAACTTTCTTTCTATCTTTTCAGGAAACTGACTATGTTCCAATTAAACGTGGGAGTCGTGTGGTACTCATGATTAATGGGTATGTAATCTTTTCTGATTCTTTCCTTACGTAAGTTCTACTTTACCATATATTCACAATGTTAACATTTTAAGGGAAGTCAGAAGTTATTTAATGCATATGAAAAAAATATGTACGTATTGCAAAGTCAAGATGCTAAAGTTCTAGTAAATTACTTTCCTTTTGACATTGTGTTGCCACATGGAAATTTATGGAACAAAATCATTGAGAAAACATCAAAAAGCTTCTTGGGCTGTATCACTTGCAGTACCCAAGCAATGCCTGATACTCTTCGATTTTTGTTCTCTGTGGTATAAATGAGTACAAGTTGTGCATGTATCGTGTCTAAGTTCACAACTGATGTTGGTACTCCATAACACATGTATCAGTGATGGATAGATCCTGGGATGGATGTTTAATGCTATGTCACTTTGACTTGCTTTTGTATTCCCAAAGTCACAGGAGGCTACTTCCATTGCTAGTGGCCTAAGATCAGAACAAAACCTACTTTTTGGAGATTATGCAATGCTTGTGCTAAATGACCTTTTTTTAGACATTAATTCTCTCACATAAGCTCTAAGCTCTAATAGCATTTTTGCAACCCAACAGTTGGGCTCTTTTTTTTCCTTCTCTAGAATATGAAGCATGACACTCTAGAAGGTCCCAAGTTTCATCATTGATCTTACCAATAATTGTCACTCCAAATGAAGTGTTGACATGCTTCCTTAGCTTTTTGTTTAACCTATCATAATAATATTTTACAAATTTCTACTTATGGATGGAGTCCTTGGAAAGTCCTACAGTCGTACCCACCCAAACATGAACAACTGTTGATCTGTATTACGGGCAAAGTTGGTTATGAAACATAATTTCTTTTCTTCCACCTATTGAAAGACGTTTGTGCAGGAATTGGTTTCCTAGTATATTTGTTTATTCCATTACTTGTTATGTTCTACTCAATCTAATTGCTTATGAGGGGATGCCTTAATATTCCAAATAGTTCCTTGTCCTATTGGTTGGTACCAGTGCTTGACCCTATTTTCATATAAAAATCATAGTTGCCAAAATCTTAGGAATTGTTATATTTAAATTTTATTATTTAACTAATGAAGCTAACAATGTGAATTATGTCTAAATTTCCATTACACAGCCAAAATCAAATCATATTTAACTATTGTATTACATTTACTAGACATATCGGCTTATATATATTATTTTTGTGCATGCCATATAGATCTGAAATTTATTTGTAGCTACATGCATAGAGAACTAAGACCAATAGGATAAAACAACATTCTTGTGTTTAATAATAAGTATATTTTGCTTTATGCATCATAGAGCCTATTTCTGTGATCTAAATTTTTCCATCTTACATAAATTGTTTTAGGTAGAGTTCAATCGATTACACACACAGATCCAAAATCCATGATCACAATTAGCTATTCATGATAATTTTCTTGAAGATTCTTGATCTGAGAACACTCAAAAACATTTTAACCTCAAAGCCTCACCAAGAGCTTATTCACGTTTATACTTGAGCATATGGAGATAACTTCTCTAAATGGCTATAAGGTTTCTCTATGCTTTTTTCATAGAGTATGGGTAGCCTCTTTATTAGTTGGGAATGTGCCAGAAATAACATATTCCCTTGGCCTCATAAGTGACTGCAATGTTGGACTAGGTGTGTAGTTCAGTGGAAGTCTTTGACCATTATTCAAATTCAAAAATACCGTCAATGAAAAAAAATGGATGGAATTTTGAGGACAATTAATACCATCAACGATCAATCTTTATGCAGTGACCTTAGTACTGTACCTTTATGCTTGTCTGGCCATTAACCAACATATCCACTTCCTCCATGCTGGTGCATTCATGCACTTCACCTTACCCTATGCCATCTACAACGAGTGTGCCAATGCACCGCTCAAGTCTCTTAAGCACACACTATATCACTATGGTGCAAGTAACTTTTTCCAACTTGTCCATGTGATGGACCGCTATGCCTTGTGACCTGCTTTCACTAAACATGCCCTTATGCTGGGTCCTATCAACCTGGCTTACGTGTATGCCATGCCTCTTTTTCTATCTTTTTCAGTCTTCATCGAAGTTATGTTTAGTCCCATAAACTTCACTAAGTTACATTGTAGACCACTGTAAGTTCGGCAGCACTCAAAACTCTTGATGTGTGGTCAAGGAATCATTAACAACAATAAATATAACATTATGAAACATTGCTAACATACAAATGAGTGACTCAATCAATCTACACTTTGTGGCTTGATGTCCAGATGCAGTTTAGGTTTTGTCTTGTCTTTTTGTTAACAATTTGATTAGCATATACTGAAGGGTGCTTTTGTACAAGTTGGTTCTCTTTGGAAATAGCTCATTAGTTATTTGAGTGGCAACCCAATAAAGTTATTGGTTCCTAAAATGCAGCATGTGTTCTATTGCGTCTGAAACTGGTAGTTCAGATGTCTTGGTAACTGAAAAGATTTGATATTTTAAATCAATAAATATCAGATTAGGGGCAACGCCTGTGATGGAATTGATGATTGCTGCTGGAAAAGCTGTCCCTATTTTGCAGCTCGAACATGGACTAGCCGTTGTTAGAGTATATACGGGGTCATTCATGACTTCTCTTGATATGGCAGGTTTGTTAACTTCTATGACCCTTTTGTTGCAAAGGTATTCTTTAATATATGTATTGTGCAGGGTTTTCAATATCCATAATGAAGGCGGAGCAAGCAATTTTGCAACGCCTGGATGCTGCAACTAAGGCTCCACATTGGCCTGTTGGTGTTGATGGTTGGTAATTCCATTAGTATATATTTTCAGCTTCCTCTTATTGTCAGGGTGTTAGTTACTTTACAGTGATAGTGACATGACATGCTTTTTTAACCATATACTTGATTGATACAAAAGTATCACAGATTAATTTTTTGATTTCTGAGGTTGTAGATGTATATTTCTTTATTTATCTCTACATAAAACTCAGTGGTTCTAGTTACTTGTAGGTGATCACCCACCTGCCAAGATTCCTGTTCCAGTTCCACCTTCTCTTTCAACAAAGAGTGACGAGGTTGTGAGCAGAAATGCCTGTTTTATTTGATTATAATAACAAATATTGGTCTCATTGTAACCTGTCTTTTTCTGTAATAGGTTTTTGTAATGCTTTATCTGTTTTATCTTCATTGGAATGCAAGGTGTTTTTGTGTTGCTTTCTATTTTGGAATTACCTAAAGCAAAGTAGAACTGCAAACAAGGATTGTCATGTTAGTTTTAGAGCTTTTCCCAAGGAAAACCATTAAGTTGTATGGCAGTTTGTGGGTTATAATTTATCTTGACTTAATTTAAATTATAACCTTTGAATGCTTCTAATTATCTACCCAATCACAAATGGAGCTATCTTTCCTGATTATTACAAATAACAAATAGAATTCCCTTTGTTATTTTTATTCTCTTAATCTTAATAGTTGAATATTGAGGAATGTGGGTTCCTGTAGCACTTTAACTTCTTAGCCCTTCTTGTACAAATTACTGTTTGTGAGGTAAATGTTTTGTTTCTTATTTTCCATCTCCTTCGTGATTGCATATGTTGCAAACATGTTTCTGTGACTTGCAGTCATCCTTGTTAAGTTCGACTTTTAGCCGCATAATCTAGAAGTGACCATTAGTCTTTTCTTCTCCACGCTCTGCTTTTTTTGATTTCTTGTTGTTGCCACTATGCCTTGCAAATACTTTCTTGGGAAGTTGCATTTTGTCTATGTGCATCATGGCTTTATCTGCAAAACAATCGATTCTAGGTAACCAATTGAGCTCATGCAATTATTTCCTGTCGTATAGTGAGTTTATACTGCCATATCGTTCATCTGTTCTCTATGGGGTTCTCTTACTTTGCAACTCAAATGTTGAACAAACTACTGTCAGTTTTAAAATTAATATGACTATTTATTGTTAATTAAGTACTTAAGTACATCAAAAACTGTAATAAGAATCACAAATAACAAAAGAATTTGAGTGGTAATCATGGAAAAGAAATCATAATTATAGTTTTGATGAATGCAAGTCTGACATATGAAGTCGAAGTAGTATAACTGATATAAGTTTTTTCACTTCATGCACACACATGCATATATGATGTTCATTATTTATACCCAAGTTCATATGCGTTTTTTATAGCATGTACCTAACAGGGATATAGAAAGACAGTATGTTGCAGGCCTTGCGAGCCAACAATGTATGTAGGTACTCGGATGGAAATGGAACCAAAGAGATATTGTCGGGATGCCATCCCCTCTGTGATGTGTTGTATTGGAATCTAGGTGCTTTTTGAATTTAAGCATGCAACATTGACACATTTATAGGAGTTAGCAAGTGTTGGGCTGTTTTTCACCTAGTGATGCACCACTGGTGTTGGGAGTTATGAATAGGATTCTTAGAACTATAATAGATGGATGAAACATGGCTAGGAAGCTAGTCGAAAAGAGCAAAATATGGCTTTGCATTTCGAATTTGAGGTTGTTAATAGTGAAAATAAGTGGACTAGTAGACATTGTAGATGTTTAGAGAACTAAGGGAAGGGGATGAAAATTTAAAGAATTTTAATCTGTGGTATTCAAGAAAGGATTCTACTAACAATGAATGGCAGAGTGTGCACTACATAATTGATAGTTCATGGAACAACATATTTTGAAACGAAAGATTAGAATACATAAAGATAAAATTGTATCAAGGAAGTAGTAGAGGCCTTTGCATAAGCTTTAACAACAATATTATAAGACAATTATGGGAGGACATATGAAGAAGTGGTGCCCTGGCATAGTGATTAGTAAGTAGTTTTCGTTAGTGTCTTAATGGTTATGTAGGTTGAGGCCTTCAAACTTCTCAAAGTGTTTTAGGTGTGCTACAAAGGATCAAGGGGAAAAAATCTTAGAATTTGCATTGTCTTGTTTTTGAGCTCTTCTTTGAGGAACCATGTTCTCACTTGTAACATGTAGCATTCATATAGACAATCTCCTCACCAGAATGGGAGATCAAGGGTCATACATAGATTGTAAAGTAATACATGGGGAGCTTTGTGTTACAATATAGGCTTTAAGTGAACGATATCCCTTAGGCATTTAGTTAGATGAAGTGAGGCCTATGATGCTGAGATTGTAGAGTTATATATAATTTGTATGGACGTGTCATACAACAAAGATTTTCACTGACAAACGTTCACATTAAACATGGTACTAGGTGGAGTGAGGTTTTTAGGCGTTCTGGAACTAGGGACAGAAGCCTTAAAGTTGGTGGTGCAACGAGGGGATGTACTACTTTTTAGGAAAAGAATGTTGTAGAGTCTTCCATGGTCATAAAAGGGTAATAATATAGAAAATTCTTAGCAAGGTGAACAGAGCTAAAAAGGCACTAAAAGAAGCTAGAAGTAGAATGTATAAGGAGTTATAGAAGAAGCTATATATAAAAGAAGGGGAAATGATGTATATAACTTGGGTTAGGTAAGGGTACAAAAATAGGGATCTAATTCACATCTAATATATTTATGATGAGTTCTATGGATGTTTAGTGAAACATGATGAGGCTAAAGTGATTAAAGGTTTTTATTTCAATGGTGAATGGAGTGTATGGAATGTTATGGATGTTCATGTTCTTTGTGTAGAATCACACCATTGGTGGTGAGGGAAGTTCTAAGACAGATGGGTGTAAGTAAAAGATTAGTGTTTGATAGTATTCTTATGCCCGTCAAATGAAGGAAGTGGAAATTTTTGTTACTCTCTACAATGATAATGGAGATGCAATTTTTCCATTAATTATTCAAGGATCAAGCTTATAAGCCATATAATGAAACTCAGTGAGCACGTTATTGAGTATATGTTAATAGTTGAGACTTTGGTATTAAAAATTAGATATAGTTTTACGACATACAGATCCAATAAAGGCTCTTTTCTTGAAGTGTGATATCCATAGGATGTGGTGACGACAAGGGTAGGAAAACTTATTTTAGGTGAAGATCACAATAAAGGGCGATTAATGAGGTAAGTTTAAATGAGAACCGTAAATATTTTGAGAAACGGAGAATCACCCATTTCATGTATTGTTCATGAATCATGATGAATGTCGTGATAGATATTCATGCTGAATGTTTTGATAGATATTCATGATGGATGATATTCATTATTATTCGGGGTTATCCATCATGAATAATACATGAAATAGATGGTTTCTCGGTTCTCAAAATATTTATGGTTCTCATTTGAACCTGCCCAGTGACTGCTATTTTACACAAGTTAATTGATATTTCGAATTATTTCTTTTTTGTAGTAAGGAAAGTTTATATATAGCAAATTATAGACAGTAAGGAGGGAATTAGAAGCTAGGCTAGATCATAATAATTTTCTAGTTTACTTTCAATAGTTTTGGAGAGACAACTGCCAAATTGGTATTATTTCGGTTACCATCTATTTATGGTTTTGCTAAAATTTCAATTGTTTAATCATCCAATATCAATTTGGTTTTTATCAAATTGATATGAGAGCCTCAATATTGTTCAAACCATACCACCAAAGAAATCAAATGGGTTGGAGAAGTTGGAGACCGAGGTGCAACAATAGCAGACCACCATGGACGAACAATTGGAGGTTGCGGAACAACGATTTGGTTGTAATCATTCCTCACAAAAAAATGGAGAAACAAGAAGAATTGGGAGTAACCGTGTTGGCTCAAGCACGAATAGAAGGAAAGGGCAGCGTTGCTACAACAGTGAGTGATTTCCAGGACGGAAGAATGATAACAAGGCTCAGGAAGTGACATCGATACGCTTTGGAAATGACGAAAAGGCTATGACAGCTGGGGGAACAACCACGATGGGGTCGGATAAGCCGTGTGGAGGTTCACCAAAAGAGGATGATGGGACATAGTGGCTTGGGAATATGTACGTGCACAGTGAAAAGCTACCACCACTGGAGCGTGGAAGGGAGGAGGACAACTAAATGCCAACCAAGGCTTCTGACTTGGACTAGACTAGTGGAACTAATAGCAACAACGGTGGGACTTGGGAGGCCAAGGGGTTCGTTCCGAGGCAGACATGGATTCAGGGCCCAAGTAATGTGACTCTGGGGTGTACATGGGCTGGACAAGGCCTGAGTGGGGTAAGCATTGGATTTCATGGAATAAATGGGGGACGACAAAGCCCGGTTTGGACCGGACAGGAACAATGTGGTTTTGAGCCTGAAATTAATCTAGAAAATTGGGTCAGGAATGCCACCTACCCAACAAACAAAAAATCGCATGGTTTGAGGGCCCAAGGTGGCACAATAGTTACAGAATAGAATCAAGAGTTCGAAATTGAAGATGTCAGTCTTTGGAGGAGATGTAGAAGGACGAGTTTATCGAGTCTAACATTACTTTGAGGTGAACGGGTTATTGGGATTAACAGTGTTGGCTGCTTGACTATGTATGGAGGGAAAGGCATTACACCGATACATCAAATGTAGGGAGACTCGACTACCATTACGTTCAGGGGCCGAAATCAAGGGCGATGTTGGAGATATCAAGGTAGCTGTATTGGAATGTTTTTAGATTGCTCGGGAAGGGGGCCTTCACAAGCAATCTTTTGCTCTCACTGAAATAGGCACAATACTTCAATACAAAGAGTAATTTGATATGCTATTCGGGCAACTGGAAGTGATCCTAGTGGAGGTGTTGGCCATGAATTTCATGGAAGGACATAAACCAAACATTTGAGCAATGATAAGGTTGACAAGACCACAAGGTTGGGGGAAGAAATAGGTTAGCACATTTAGTTAAAACCAAATGCAATCGGACGAGCTCATGGAGGGAATTTTGGGGGGGGGGGGACACTGTCCACAACAACGCGGGAACATGGGTAGCACCAATTCCCCGGGGGTCAAAGACACAAATGGTAAATGCGGAAGAAGACTTTGTGAAGGAGAAGCCAAACCAGGATCTACCTTCTAACAAACAAGTGGAGCAAAGGGTTGTGTTTCTAGTGTGATGAGAAAGTTTCTCCCGAATATTGTTGTAAGGATAAGGCGTTGCAGGTATTGGCTGTAAGTGATGGGATGGATGAGGAAGGTATGGCACCGAGGAAGAAGACTATGGGAAGGAGAAGCCAAACCAGGATCTACCTTCTAACGAACACAAGTGGAGCAAAGGGTTGTGTTTCTAGTGTGACGAGAAAGTTTTTCCCGTACATTGTTGTAAGGATCAGGCGTTGCAGGTACTGGCTGTAAGTGATGGGATGGATGAGGAAGGTATGGCACCGAGGAAGAAGTTGGGGGGAGGAGCAACATCCACATTTAGATGTAGTATAGGTTTCCTTAAATTCAATGCTTGGTTTTACCACACCATGAAGCTGAAAACAACACTCGAGAATAGTGAGATGGTGGTATTGATTGACAGTGGTGCTACATACAACTTAATCTCTAATTAGGTGGTGGCAAAACTGGAGCCACAAATCACCAACACGAGGAGCTTTGGAGTATCCATGGGAACCCGGAAGGTGGAGGAGAGCAAAGAGGTTTGCCGTGGATTTTTGCTCGCTTTGCAAGGAGTCTAGATAGTTGAAGATTTTCTACCATTGGATTAAGGGGTACCAACGCCATTCTCGGGATATAATGGCTACAAACTCTTAGGAGTTCATGAACTAGAAGTCTCTCCATATGGAATTCCAAACAAGGGATCGACGAGTAGTGTTACAGGGAGAGCCTAGCTTATGTTGAACGATCGTAACGCTGAAGACACTGTTGAAGGCATTTAAAAGTGTCGAATGTGGATTTTTAGTAAAGCCAAACACATTGTGCTCAACCAAGGGGGAAAGCATGAATCTAACACCAATGGTCATTGAGACGTTATTGGCACAATAGGAGCGACGTTACGAGTTCTTGGTCATGCCGTTTGGATCCACTGACACTCCGTCCACATTCAATCATGGATGAATAAGGTGTTTCCAGCCTATTCACAAAAGTTTGTTCTTATTCTCTTTTATGGCATTTTGGTGTACAATCCGAATTCGGTGGAGCATGTACTACAGTTAGAGGTAGTCTAGAGAGAATTGTGGAAGCATAAGTTATACGCCAACCGGAAAAAAGGCTTGTTTGTTCAGGCAAAAGTGGAGTATTTGGGCCATGTGGTGCCAGTAGAAAGAGTATTGGCAGTTCTTGACTTCTTGCGAAAATTTCCGCAATGTTAAATTGGCCAGAGCCCAAGACCTTGAAGTAATTGCTTGGGTTTTTGGGCCTCGTATTACACAGGAAATTCTTTAAAGCGGTATGGAGCTACCGCATGGCCTCATGGAAGATGTCGTTCGAGGTGGGCAAGGATCAATTAGGACCGTAAAAACCTATTTAAGGCCGAAGATCACAATAAAAGGTGATTGATATCTTTTTAAGTTAATTGATATTTCAAATCATTTTCTTTTTGTATTAAGGGAAGTTTCCATATAGCAAATTATAAGTATAGTGTAAGGGGGCATTAGAAGGCAGCAAGATCATAGTAATACTCTAGTTTACTTGCAATAGTTTTGGAGCGACTGTTGCCTCTCGAAAGCAGGCCGGTTTTGTTATCTTTTCGGTTGTTTAATCATTCAATATCTATTCAGTTCCTGTTCACCTGTTGAGACCAATTACATTCGTATGACTTAATATGGGTCTCGCTAAAAGGCAACATGTACACCAGATCTGTGTAGCTGACAGGTGTATGGTGAGGTGGATGTGCCACAATGAATGATGAGAGAACTGATGTAATATGTGAGGTGTTTTATGTAGTAGTTTAGTAGAAGCTGTGCAACATTGCTTGAGATGGCCCATTTCAAGTTTTGAACTTTGAGATGCATAGGTTAGAGGAGACTTGTCCGTGGAGGACGTTATTAGGAGATTTATAGGACAGCTGAAATTGGTATGAGGAAAATTAGGTAGTAATGAACGTGGGCATATAGCAATGAATGTGGTCTTATATAGTGGAAGGATGCTATTCATGGAAGGGTTCACCCTTCTATAACTCTACTGGCTTCTATCTTTAGCTTACTATAGTTTGGGATAAAATGCATGCTATTGTCTTTATTGTATTATCTGGTCTGCTAGCAGTCTTTTATTTATTCCCATGATACCAATATGTATTTTTCCTTGTTTTCACTAGGTATTGAGTCGACCACAGCAGCTAAATCAGCAAGGTCGTGCGCTGGAGGTGGCTATAGAAGCAGCGACAATGGCAATTATTAATCTAAAGGATAATTTAAATGACTGGGACGGCAAAGTGGGTGATGGGGACTGTGGATCAACAGTAAGTTCAAGTACATTCAGATTGGCACCGGAAATACACATTAGTAACTTGTGATCACACAATGGCTTTATTTACTTGTGACTATACAGATGTCTAGAGGTGCAACAGCTATTCAAGAAGACCTGAAGAAGTAGTATGTACTCTGTTTAATTACCCATATTTACTTCGTTTACTGCATCACATTTAGCATGCTTGCTGTTCGCAGTTACTCTTCTATAAATGTAAGTGTGTGTTTATGTGTGTTTTTCTATTGTATATAATATATATATGTATATATAAAGCACATAAATTATTATTTTAGAGCAGAGCCTTAGAGTTTTAGATATTGCTCCAAGCTCTGCTGGTGAATTGAGGAGTAATTAGGGATGTCATTAATTACTTAAAATAACTCATTGTATATTGAAGATCTATTCCCAAAGCTCTGAAGCATTAGAGATAGCCAGTCAAGTTCTTAACCCAAAATTGACATAGTTTTATTTACATCATGTAGATGTAAAAAAAATTCTAGTGTGGTGGTACTGTCTATATAAATGCTAATAGGATCATTGTTTTCCTCCAAGTGTAAGTAAATTTTTAGTGTTTTTGTTGTTCAGATGAATTGTTATCTCACACTGTGGGATGGAGGGAGTACTTAAGATAGGACCTACTATATATCTTATATCAAATGAGTACTTAAGACGGTGTTCTCTCTCAAATTCAGTTAATCAAGTAAAAAGAATGATGTGTGTTTTCTGTGTTCTTTTTAATTGAGTGGTTATATGCACACCTCAGTGTGTACTACATGTATAAAACACTTCCAGTGCAATCCGTTAGGGTGGATTTATGGTACATTACCTCAGAGATCCTGCTTCTTTTGTTATGAGGTGCTGAAACAGGCTCTTACCCTTCCAAAGTGTTTTTGTCCTTTATTAATGTATATTCTCTCTTTAGGATTACTTTAGCTGTCATGGAATTATTACCACACGCTCATTCTATATTTTTAGGATGCTAAGCTCTGTTATATATTTAACAAAAAAAATCCGAGATTGAGGTAAACGTATACAGATTTTGTCATGCTTTATTTTGAAGTTCTATTGCGATAGATGCTAATAACTCTTGTCTCTTCTATTATCTGCTATAGAATTACTTCATTCCAGTCTGGTTATGCTACTGCGATTAAATTGTATATCTTTCTATTTTAATCTTCATTAATCTTATTGAGGCTGTGTTAGGGGTGTCTTCCATTGTGTGCATCGAATTATTATCGACCATTTGACTTCATGGTGCTGATACACTTATTTTTTTTCTCGGCAATTTTCTGTTTTTTCCTAGCTATCCTCTCAATGATGCTGCAGAAACAATTAATGAGATCGGATCATCTATCCGAAGAGTCATGGGAGGAACAAGTGGAATCATGTATTAGACATTGCCTTTCTAATTACTTCTATGACTAATTACTTTTATGACTCAATTGATGCTTTTGGTTAGCTAGCCATTTTGTATTTTACAAGCCCTACCTTTGTTTATTGATGTTTGAAACAGATATGACATATTTTGCAAGGCAGCATATGCTAGGTTGAAACCAAACAACCAATCAGATATTACACCACTGCAATGTGATAAGTTTTTTTTATCTTTCTTTTGCAAATGTTGTCTGTACACATGATGTTCTGCTATTGACATGGTCAGAAAATCTATCCAGGGGCTGATGCATTTGAAGCGGCTATTGGTGCAGTCATGCTATATGGAGGGGCTGCTGCAGGTTATCGCACAATGTTAGATGCTCTTATTCCAGCTTCAACAGTTCTTAGAGAGGTAGAAAGTGGCAGCATTTTCTTTCGTAATTTGCTGGACCTTCCATACTATCAAGTGATGCATATTACTTTTCAATATAGATGCCTGCAGCCTGCCTCTCTAACAACTTATCAAATGCCATTTATACCAATCCTAATATCTGCATATTTTCGACAGTGTGTAATGTTTATTTTCTTAACAGAGGTTCAGGGATGTGGAAATTTGTTTTTATGTATGTGCGTGTGCTCACAATATTGATCCTCTTAACAGAGGTTAACTATTGGAGATGATCCTTTGGATGCTTTTCTTATCTCATCTGACGCTGCAATTGCTGGAGCGGAGTCTACTAAACAAATGGAAGCTCAGGTACTGTTACTTAGAGCTTGTTTCTTTCACTTTAGAAAACAAGTTTGCTTTCTTTTCTGTATATCTTCCTGTTTATTCTCACTGTCCTTCGTGTCATTGGTCCTTTTTTACAGAAAAAACATGTAGCATCATGCTGTTAGAAAAAACTAATGGTCTTAACATCCTTTTATGGACATCATTATCTTTTCATACATTGTGGTCATAAAACCTGCGTCTATGTATTACTGGGATCCATCATGCTTACAATTTAAGTAAGTAATGGTATCTGCTCATAGCCTTGATGTGTGATTCTTTGCTACCCATGCAATTACAAACTATTATGCATCAATAAGAAGTTGGCTGATGGATTGTGTTTAACGCAGAAGCTTGTTTATACTTGGGCTATGTTTGGCAACCATAACCTAGCTTATTTTTTGAGAATCCAATTGAAAAAGAACCCGTTTAGTTAGCCGTAAGCTAGCTTTTTGAAAAGCTACTTCAAGTAGCGTTTCAATAAACTCCAGGTTTTTTTTCACTTTTTCCAAATATACCCCTTATGTTTTTCCAATTAATTTTTCAACATGTCATTTTAGGTCATTTTCTATTGTCATCTAGCTAATCAGCTACTTTTTATCAATCATAACTAGCTTGTCAGTTGTCGATTAGTTTGCCAGTCTACAGAAATCCTGTCATGATGTTGTGACTGCTATAGTGTGATGGGTTCTCCTGTATCATGTAAAACTGTCATGTTATTTAGATAATTGTTGTGGAAACGGATAAACTTCCACAATCCAGTAAAAGCTTACTAAAACACAATAACCATTTTTTTGAATCAAATAAAATGTCGACTATGTATCCTATGTGGCATCCATGTGACAGTTTTAGTAACATTTCAATATAATTTTAACGATCTGTTCCTGTGGTTTTTTATTCTAACGTGTTCTCCAAGTGCACATGTAGGGTTTCAAACAAGAGTTATTTAACTTATGAGATCTTGGCACTGATCTTTGTTGCCAATTGAAAGGCGACATCCTTATTTGTAGTTTTCTTCACGAACTTGATATGTAGTCGCACTTTCTGGCAGAAAAAACAAAGCACCTAACCAAACTGACCCAGTAAATCCCACACAGAGGTCGGGTTTAGGGATGAGATGGACACATACCTTAGAGTAGAGAGACCGTTTCCGTAAAGACCCCCGATTTGCACTTAAAGTTAAAAGTGTACCTCTTAGAGCACTTCCAATGGAGCTTCTTGAAAGCTTTTTGGCTATCTAGACGTGTGAAAAAGCTCCTGACAAGAAAATTTCTCTTTTTGCTTGTGCAGTCACAAGCTTGCAATAAGCTTGTTTTTTGTCTATGGGTCCCATATTTTTTGGAAAAATTTAGAAAAACCTCTAATGAAAAATTAGAAAAAGGTTTTTTTTATTAACCTGGATATCCAACCCACCATGCGAGCCTACTAATCCCAGGGCCACCTACTTTGCGGGTAGTCCCCGGAGTCACCATATTTGAACCTCTGTGGCCACAAGGGGATTTTATTCCGGATTTGAACTTGGGACCTTCAAGCACTTTTGACCTTTGGAGTCCAAGCTCAAACCAATCAGGCACCACTCTTGTGGTTAGAAAAAGGGTCTTTGGCGCAGCAGTATCTAGGTTCCTTGTAAGATCCAAACCTTTGCAGATGTCAAGGGTTCAAACCTCACCAAAAGTGATGATAAGCAATATTATATATATATACACACACACACATACATATACGAAGGATCGTGTGAGAATAAGAGTTAAGCTGAGAAGCGTAAGAAGGGATCTGGACCCTTGATAACTTTTTTTTCTCACCCCTACCACATGAGTCGGCGCTTCTCACGGGAATTGATCCAGTGCATCTTGTTAGTGTTGATATTCAATTAGGATTGATCCAAGGGTGGAGATCACTTCTTACCCTTCTCACCATAACCTCCGTTCTCACTGGAACCGAACCCTATATATATATATATATAGGGGCAGGTTCAAACAAGAAGTTAAACATTTTGCGAGAAGACAAGGAGTTTCAATATCATATATGATTACATGCACGATGCATATGCTTAATCATATATTGATTAAACACAAGTTGCATTGACAACACATACACGCTTAATCATATATGATTAAACACACCCAAGGGAGTGTAATCATATGTGATATTGAAACTTCTCGCCTTCTTGCATGATCCTTCCTATATATATATATATATATATATATATATGGACTTCTTTTAAAAGTGTGTATATATATATATATATACACACTTTTAAAAGAAGTCCATTATTGTAAAAGCTCTTAATTTGAAGTGAATGGAGTAGTAAGTTTAATCTAAAAATGTGTGTATTGAACCATGCCTAGCCTTTTTCATTTGGTTTTGCTTCTGCACTTGGTTTTCGACTACTTAAAAATGCCGTATGTTTATGCAGGCTGGGCGTTCAACATATGTGTCGGCAGATATCCTTACATCGGTTCCCGATCCAGGCGCCATGGCTGCTGCTTCATGGTACCATGCAGCCGCCGTTGCTTTAAAAGACAAGTTCAATGCAGGCTCGTAAGCACCATTTGTGGCCAGCTACAATTTTGTTGACAGTTTCTGCATAGCAACCAAATCAACAGAGATTTCCGCTTATGCACACACATCGCATAAAGCCGAGAGAGCCATTCAAACATACATACAATTTATGTCAAAACTCCAAATGATCATTTGGTAGGGTAACACTTCTTTGAAGTGAATTAATTAAGTGGTGTATCTTAAACTTGATGTTTTATGTCTGAAATTGCATTAAAATTAATGCAACTTCATTTAAACTTCTAACTTCGTCCTTCGACCTGCCCATTTTTAAGAGATAAAATCGGCCGTTACTTGTTGAGACTTCGAAACAAAACACGGCAATTGATTTGGTATAGAGGTTGTAGCTTGGTTGATTAGAGGTGCTCGTGTGTCTCAAAATAAACATTTCTATTTTTAGTTTGTTGCAAAAATAAGTATCCACTTTCATGACTACTTTTGTGTTCTAGCCTTAATTATGAGATGGTTTGTTGGAGTGTGTAAGCAGGGGACCGAACAAGATTATAAAATATTTGACAAAAAATTTTAAAAACAATTTTTTATGCATAAAGTACTGTTTATT